CTTTCCTGATGTGGAAATTACTAGGAGTCATTCAAGGCCGTGTTACCTTTTGGGTCCCTATATACCCCTATGTTAACACCCATTCTACTATATAGTAGTTTCCCTTTGTTGATAAAAGAAACAAAGCAGTGCTCCACAGTGACCAGGACCAAAGAAAGGCAGGCCTTGATGCTTTATAGTCCCTTTAAGTAGATAGAATATGGCTTTGGGTACAATAGAACAAGATCCTCACATACCCACATTCTATCTATTTAAGGGGGACTATAGGGTTTAGGGTTTAAGATTGATACCGTGGACCCGTAGCACCGGCCATTAGCCCAAACTTGCAGCGCGGGGATAGGGATTATATAGGGCTTATATATAGGGATTATGTACGGATACATGGTGCGCAGTGCACGACAGCATACTCCATGGCCCATAGACTCGGCCTCCCCAAGCCACACAGCTTCTGACACCAACCCTCCCAGCAGCAAGAGCATATCCAAGGTAATGCAGAAGAGCAGTGCTCGGCAAAATGAGCAAGTGATGAATTTGCTTGGACCCTGGAAGTTCTGAACCCTATACACCCTATATAACCCCTTTTATAAGCCCCACATAGCCCCTCTATAACCCCTAGGTGCCTTCGGGGTCCTCTGGGCAACGTGCCACTTCGCGGCCCTGGCGTGGCAGGCACGGTCATCTGCTGCCTCGGTACTCGCACCTGACCCTTAAGCCTAAACTTCCTTCAGCCTTATATGTCCCTATATAAGCCCTATGCAATCCCTATATCCCACCTGAGCCTCAGGAAAAGCTGACCCAGCTGAACTGCGGGGGGGGGGGGTATGGCATGGCTGGCCTCCGACCTTTGGCTCAAGATCCTGAACAAATCGCTAGTTGCCTGTTTAATATTCAGCGGCACCACCCCTTGAAAATCATGTTGAGAGGGGGCCTTCTGGTTGTCACTCTGCTTGGCAGAGTGCACCTGGCACATGCCCGCCGCCTTAGTCCTAAGGTTACTGAGCCGGAAGTGGACTTCAGCTTCATGGGGAAGGTTGGGAACTACACTGGTCGAAGCAACTTTGCCTTGAACAAGTTCTCGGAATGGCTCTGGGCCGATCGGCATCTAGGCAAGACTCGGGAAGAAATCACAGCAGGGCACAAATGTCAAAAGGTGGGGGAGCGTCAGGAGACGTACTATGCTGCCAGCTTTTGCTACTGGGTGCCAGAGATTTTCGATAACCCTTGGGGCAAGGCCAGCCTATCATGGAAAGGAGGCCCCTACCCTTCGGGAGGGATGTTTGTAGGTGACGAGCTCCACTTCAATGGAGGCCATTGCGTCACTGGGTTGCTGTTAAGGAACTTAAATTAAGTTACCATAATGGGTATATATAGTAAGTAATAGGGTTCCCCCAATATAGTAACTTAATTTAAGTTCCTTAACAGCAACCCAGGTCAAGGTAGTCATATGCCACAACAATGGCCAGGATGATGAGGGAGCCGTCACACATTGCGAACCCATGGGTGAGAAGCTGGGTTGCTGTTAAGGAACTTGCATTAAGTTACCATAATGGGTATA